ACAATGAGGTAGATTTCCCCTTCAAATCCTAGGGTGGGGCCCCAAAAAATCAGGGGTGGGACCCCCCAAAATTCTGGGATGGGACCCGAAAATTCTGGGAGCTTCCTGAGCCCCCGTGGAGCCCCCAGATTCCCCCAGGATCCCCCCAAACCCCTCCAGGACCTCCCTGAGCCCCCCCAAATTCCCCTCCCAGGTCTCTCTCCTGGGGGAGCCCCCCAAGGATTTGAGGATCCCCCTCAATCCCTACCTGAACCTGCAGAGCCTCCTGCCCACGCCCGGCCTGCCAGGTGAGTCACAGGAAATTCCCTTTTTATTCACAGAAATTTCCCTTTTTTTCCCCAGAAATTTCCCCTCTTTTTGGGGCAGATTTCCCTCTTTAACCAATCCCACGTTTATTTTTTCCAGGAAAAGGGTTTAAGGTGAAACCTGGAGTTTTGGGGACCCCCCCGCCCGACGCCTTCGCTGTGGACTTCCCGGTCAGGGGGAAATTTGGGTTGGAATTGGGAGGTTTTGGGGAGTTTTCAATTGAGGATAAAAACCCCAAATCCCTCGTTTTCCTGGGAATTTGGGGATCCCCCCCTCTAAACCCCCCAAATTCCCCCGGGCAGGATTTGGGGTCCCGGATTTTCCCCCAGCCCCGCGACCACGGCTCCATCCTGGGGGGCTTCGGGCACGGCAGGCACAAGGTAAAAATCTGACTTTTTTGGGGGGAAAATTCGGGTTTTTTGGCAGTTTTGGGGGGTTTTCAGCTGCCTGTGCTCCCCTTGCAGATCTCCTCCTCCTCCTCGGGGTTGGACAGGGGGGGTCTGGGACCCCCAGGGCCCCCCTTTTTCTCAGGATCCCCCAGTTCCTACTTCACCAGTGGCCTCCAGGCCGGGCTCAAGCAGAGCCACCTCAGCAAGGTGAGACCCCTCCCCAAATTCTGCAGCGCCCCCTGCCCTTTTTCCCTTAAATCCTTAAAATTCTGTTAATAATCCCCTAAAATCCTATCAAATCCCTTCGATTTTAATTATTTTCATCCCAGACCTTTTTTCCCTTAAATCCCTAAAAATCTGTTAAAAATCACATCAAAATCTCCTAAAATCCCATCAAACCCCTTCAGTTTTAATGCTTTTCATCCCAGACCTTTTTTCCCCTTAAAATCCCTTAGAATTCCTTAAAATCCTTTCAAAATCCCCTAAAAATTCCTTACAATCTCCTTAAAATACTTTTAAAATCTCCTTAAAATCCTTTAAAAATCCCTTAAAATNTCATCCTCATCCTCATTGTCATCTCCATCCTCATTGTTATCTTCAGCCTTAACCTTATCTTCATCCTTCTCATTCTCTTCATCCTCGCCCTCATCCCCATCCTCACCCCTTCATCCTCACCCTTATCTTTGTCCTCATCACCATCCTCATCCTCATCCTCCTTTTCTCCCTCCCTGCCTTGCCATGAGATTTTTGGGATTATGCTCATGCTGAGAGCTGGGACCCTGCTGGGATCACCCTGATCTTTCCAGGATCAGAAATCCCAAACCCCCAGGCCCAAACCCTAAACCCTGAATCCCCAGTCCCAAACCCCACATCCCAAATCCCATCTCTCTCCCCCATAAATCCCATTTTTCCCCTATTTCAGGCCCTGAACCGTGGCAAGGGGCTGCTCCCTGAGCCCTCCCTGCTGCAGATCCTGGGCAGCCTGGGCAACCCGGCCTCGCTGCAGCTGCTGCTCAACCCCCTGCTCCAGGGGGCCCTGGGCGCCAAGCAGGGTAGGAGGGGAATTTTGGGGCAAAAAATGGCAATTTTGGGGCAAAATAACGGGAATTTGGGGGAATTTCTGTGCCGTTCCTCCTGTTCCCAGCAGGAATTTTGGGAGCTGCTCCCTCCCTTCCCCTGGTGCCCAACCCGGCGCTATCCACGGCTCTGCTCCAGCTGGCTCTGCACAGCCAGACCCAGGTAGGCTGGAATTCCCTCATTTCTCCTGGAATTTTCCCATTTCTCCTGGAATTTTCCTGTTTTCCCAGCTTTTTTTCCTGGAATTTTGCTCTTTTCCCTGAAATTTTGCTCTTTCCCAGGGTTCTTTCCGCCCAGGATTGGGGTTTCCATGGATTTTTTAATTGGATAATCCACTTCCATGGGGTTTTTTTAGGGATAATCTCCATTTTCAGGGTGTTTTCCTCCTTTTTCTCATTCCAGAAACCGGGAATTTTGGGCGATTCCCCGCTGAGCTCCCTGGCCCAGCCCCCCGGGAAGCTCCTGGGGGAGATTCCCTCAGGTAAACCCGGAATTCCAGCACACCTGGAGCCTCACCTGGGGGGGATTTGGAGAGAGGAAAATTCCTCCCAAAAAATGGCAAACCTCAGATTTGGGTGGGAAAAGGGGGATCTAGGTGGGAAAAGCAGGATTTGGGGTAGGAAAAGGGAGTTTTGGGTTTGGAAATGGATTCTGGTGTGTCCCCCAGCCTCACTTGTTTTCCCCTCTGTTTTGAGCTGTTTTCCTGCTTTTCTCCCTGCTCCCACACCCCCAAACGTTTCCATTTTTTGGGGAGCTGCGCTCAGGCTGGCTCTGAGCCCTTTCCCCTCCTTTTCCCACCTCTTG